AATAATAGGGAAAATTCTCGAAATAGGAGTCAAATAGTTTGAAAATTTCAAAATATGATTGTCATGTTTTTATTCTGAAAATAGGAGTAATTATTGACATGTTTGAAAAATACTGTCATGTTTAAAGTCTGATGCTCCTACTTTGGAATATACAAATATTTTTAATCCTATTTAGGGTAATTTCTCTTAATAATATCATTGTCATTCTTTCATTTCCAAATGCTTCTACTCATATTCAAAGCAATCTCTTTTGATATCCGTATCAATTGTGCCTCATATAGCTATTTATTCACGAATTCAACCAAGCATTCAAGCTTAGCTGGTTGTGAGGTTACCGTGCCTAGTGGGAGGTCTCGAGTTTGAAACTCGCTAGACACATAAGAGTTTGAAACTCAATGAAGTGAGTTTTAGCCATGATTACTTCAGGCCCCTCAGACCCCCTCCCCCAGACCCCCTGGAGTAAAAACAAATCACGAATTCTTCTCAAATTAAACAAAAAAGTGCCATCTAACATATAGTTTAGGTGTATATGTTTATTTACTTCTCCTTTTTATAATTTTTTTCTCTCTAGTATATTTGAGTTAATTTTTTATGTTTCCGATTCATTTTTGTTTTGCAATACACTACAAAAAAACATGGGATTGACAGAGATTTCGGCAGGGATTTTGACAGGAATATGCCAAATCCGTGCCAAAACACTTTGGCACGAGCTATTTGGCACGAAAAATCGGTAAGTCAGTGTCGAATTCCATGTCAATCCCGTAATTTTTTTGTAGTGATAGTTATATCATATTTGATCAAATGGGATTCTTATTGTAAAAAAAAATTAAATGGAACTATAAAAAAGTGAATCAAACAAAATGTAGCCACAAGTTTTGAAAGAAAAAACGGAACAAACCTACCTAGTCTTGAGAATGGCAGATAATAAGTGAAATAGATCTAGGTTTTGTCAAATTGTAATTGATATAGGAAAGCTAAAACTTTATAATGCTTGACTACATCACGGCGCGGGCACATGACAGTGACGTTGGAGAGAAGACGACGAGTACGGTTTGAGATAGATGACGGCGAACACACTAGTTAAGATGACGGCAAATCATAAGCTCCGCTGCTTATGATGTCCTCCATGCTAGATCTATTTCTATAAAAAAAATCTCATGCATGACAATTTATCGTTAAGTAATTACCATGGATATAAGAGTAAAACATCAGACTTAAGCAAAAAGAGAGGTGTGTCTTTCAAATTCCCTAAATAGGAGTTTCAACCGGTATTTAATTCCAAAATATGAGTTTCAATTCCAATTTTACCCCTACTCACATTTAATTTTATCCGCTATTTTCTTTCTGTCACGCAACCTCCCAATCTGACCACCCCACTTCTCTTCCTCTGTCACGTGTCCTCTCCCAACCTTTCTATTTCTTACGGAGTATATCTTATTCCTCTACTTTCTTCCAATTTGAACTCTTGCAATTCATCTAGCATCTCATGTCCATTTTATAAATTTAACGAAATCACCATTTCAGATTAGTTTTTAAATGGTGAACGGATTTTATACCCATCTACGGTGAAATTGAGTAATGAAATCAAGTGTGATCAGAAATTTTTGGTATGCCTTCTTTGTCTTTTTTCTCCTCTTCTCCTTCTTCCACCTCTTCTCCTTCTTCATGCATCTGTTATTTTGTTTCCTTTCGATTTTTTTTGTTATTTTCCATTAATAATTTTATTTAATAAATGCAAATTTTGGATCTGGAATGTATTGTTTTATTTTAAAACAAAAACGTCCTCTTATATTATTAGTATACGCAAGAAAATGTCCATCATTTGAAAATTGAAATTTATTTAATTTTATATTGTTAATTTTGATTAATTTTGAAATTAATTAACTTGCAATTAAAATTAAAGATTTGACTAATATTTATTAATTGAAAATTGTTAGATTTCATTTTTTTCTCTCAATTTTGATCAAATTATTTTAACATAAAGATTTCTATTTCTAATCCTTTTAAATATGGATCACCAAAAAAATCATTTTAAATATGGAAATGTCATAATATCTCTTTCTATCCGAACATTGCTTTGAAAGTAAAGTCGTTTCTATGAATTTACATATATAGCTAGTATCATTTTAACTCAATTGGCAAACAATGTCATTTTTACGGTAATAGTGCCATTTTTAGCACTTGGCAAACAATGCCTTTTTACCGTAATAGTGCCATTTTTAAGGCAGTATTACATATAATGTCATTTTTTATATCCATAAATGCCATATTTTTTCAAGAAAATGCCATACTTTTTCCAGAAAAAGCTATCCATAAATGCCATAATTTTTTCAGAAAATGTCTTAATTTTTCCAGAAAAAAGCCATGATTTTTAATCTCAAAAATTCTGTCTTTGGATATTCAGATGTTATACTAGTCATTACAATTATGAAGATGACAATCAGACTGGAGCATGGCAACAAACTTGCCACTGAATGTGACAGTCGCACCAGTCCACCGCATGATTGACTAATTCCGACATACCCCACCAACACCGGAGATCCACAGCGGTCTTCCTGAAGAGGCGGCAGACGGCAGCGAAGTGATGAATGCGGCTACAAACGCCCGACGGTGGAAGAAGTGGCGGTTGAGATGTTTGATGAGGCGATCAACGACGACAATTTGGGATGATGTGGCTGCCGGCGGCGCCACCGCCGGAGAAGACTACAACCATGATCTAGGGTTGTAGTGTGGAGTTCCATCACGGCACCTCATGTCGCCCCCACCTATTATCTTTATTTTTGAAAGCCCACTTGTTATCTTTTTTTAAAAGCCCACATGTTAAGTATTACACCGTATGAATGTATGATACTATGATTTGCTTTCATTAAGGATATTATGGTCAGTTTCTTTTAAACTTCCGTGTGAAACATAAGTAATTCATAGGACTCCTATTTTGGCATACTTTCTATGTTTTACTCCCATATTGGTAATTTTTTCTTTATCGTTTTTTGGTTTGACTAGTTATGGTCCCGAACCACTGTCATGAGGTGGAATGGTGGCCTGGAGTTGAAACATTGTACTTGATTTTCTTCAAGCAAACAAGTACTCCCTCCGGTCCTAAATAAACTTCACATTTTCCTTTTTGGATAGGTCCAAAATAAACTTCACACTTCTTTTCTCTTCCTTATTTGGCAAATTATCAACATCAAAACAATGCAAAACAGTGCAAAACAGTGTCAAACAGTGTCACAACAGTGTACTTTACAGTAAAGTCAAATTCATTTCCTTAATTTGTGTGAAGTCAAAGTGTGAAGTTTATTTAGGACCGGAGGGAGTACAAAATTGGGGTAAGCGTCAATTGTGTTAAATCCTGAGGTCTTATATAAAGGATCAGTGAATTCATTCAATTATTTCTATTCTTATGTTTTATGAATTCATACTAAGGAAATAAATTGGAGTGAATTCATACTCCCTCCCAAAAACAACTTCACACTTCGTTTTCCACACATATTAAGGAAATAAATTTACTGGGGTGAATTTTACTGTTTGGACACAATTTAGACACTGTTTAGCACTGTTTGACACTGTTTGGCACTGTTATGATGTAGATAATTTGCCAAATAAGGAAGTGAGAAGAAGTGTGAAGTTAATTTTGGAACATCCATTTAAGGAAAGTGAGAAGTTGTTTTTGAGATGGAGGGAGTATTAGAGTGCATGCTGCTAGGTTTGTGAGGATGACTGACAAACCTTGTTGTTAGAGACATGAAGATCTATATGGTCAACGATAGTTATTTAAGCCTGCTTGGTGATTAATGATTTGTAGTTAGGAGTGGACTTGGGTCGGGCCGGTTAACCGGACCAGCCCGCTACTATGCTGGCCCGGCCCGGCCCGGTGAACCGGTTGGTGCCCGGTTCACCGCCACCAGGCCCGGTGAGGTAGGCGGTTCAGACCCGGGCCTGCTAAATAGTGAACCGGCCCGGCCGGTTCGGGCCTGATCCGGGCCAATTTATTTTTTTTGATTTTTTTTTTGAATTTTTTTTAAGTTTTTGGGTTGGGCTAGGTATGATGGGCCATTTGAGGTGGTTTGGAGGTGAGGGGGGAGGGTTGTGGGTTAATTAGGAAAAGCCAAAAAAATTACATATACCGAGGCCCGGACCAGACCCGAGGGTTACCCGGGCCGGTTTTGGGCCTCCCCTTTCATGAACCAAGGCCCGGCCGGGCCCAGACCCGAACCAGGCCCGAACCGGAACCGGTCCACCCCTATTTGTAGTGCTCATTCAGATTTCCATTTTTACGTCTAATAGTAGATTTATCAATTTTAATTGGAAGATTTTTTTTCAAATATAATGTAATGATCTCAATTCGAATGATATCAATTTACGTAATTACCTATAAAACGAATCTCATTGTCACTAAATGAAAGAATATTTTCTCACTATGGTATACAGTCAGACACAAATGATGTGTAATTATCAAGAAATTTAAAAAAAACAAAAGATCTTTTTTTGAAGCTAAATTGATCATCTTCTCGGAGAAAATATGTAACCTTTAGCAATCAAAAAAAAATAAACAAATAGCTTTTTATTAAACAACTACAACAAATTTTCTTATATACTCCATTTGTCCCATTAAGGTTGTCTCGTTTTAACTTTTCAAGAAATCACATGAAAATTCAAAATTATACTATACCAAATTTGGTAAAGTTTATGTGACTCTAAATAATTCTTACTTTATCAATTCAATATCAACCACATAAACATAATTTTTTTAATAACCGTGTCACCACGACACCACGCCTTGTCCCAATGTTAGTGGGACAGAGGTAGTATGATTTAAATAAAAGTGATGGACAAAAAATACGACTAAAGTGACTACAAGTATGTCATCACATAATCACTACAATGTAAATTAGATCATCATCCAGATTTTTTTAAGTTCAGCACATTTTATTTTATACAGAGTATTAAATATTCTAGTGTACTTTTGTGGTTAACACTTTCCAAAACTTTTTGTATGTTCTTAATTACTAAAATGGATCTCTTTCATTCAATTGTTCACATAAATGGCTAAGATTATCTCTTATTTTTATTTGAATGGAATTCTATGTGTGAATAGGACCAATATTTTCTACACCACTTTATATAACTATGATCACGCTTATGGAATTATATAGTAGTGGTCTGAAATTATTGAGAACACTTTACAGAATTGTTGTGGGTTAAATGATCTCCTCCGTAAATAAGTTCTTACTTTGTCCTCTTCGAGAGCTTTGGATTTTTGCACATGCGGATACTGAGGGGAGTAACTTCAACCAACTCATCTTCTTCAATGTACTCTATGCAGTCGTCCAGGCTATAATCCAGTGGGGTGTCAAGAACCACTGCGCGTGTCATAAAAAGTGATTAGAATGTAATACTTTGAAGCATAAGGGCCAATTTCGAACTAGGAAATGCTAGGGAAACAAATTACACACAAATATATTTTTAGTTCCTGCAAATAGGACACAAATATAAACTATTTTATTTTTAGTCATTATCTAACTCGGGCAGTCTCAATTAAAAAAAAAAAAAATCATTTGTAGTTTTGCACAACTCTACTTTAAACTTTTAGGGAAAAATAATTAAAATATCCCAAACTTTGAATAGGTGTGGGGTAAACACCCCAAACTTGTATATGTAAGTTCAATATCCCGAACTTTATTTAAATAGTTATGTTAGCACCATGAACATATAATTTTCAGTTTTTCACCATAAATTATATTACCGTAAATTTTAAATAAATATATGACCATGGTGCTAAAATAACTTTTTACGTAAATTTTGGGGTATTTAAATTACACATGCAAGTTTGGGGTATTTAAGTCACACCACTTCAAAGTTTGAGGTATTTGAATTATTTTTCCCGAACTTTTAACTTCATCATTTTATTACTTCTTGGAGTTCTTGGAGACTAATATTGGAGTGAAAACGAAATGAAACTAATTATGCACATTTTTAAAACATGTTTAAATGGTACTTTAATAAATAAAATTACGTAGTATGTTTTTTGGAATAAAATGATAGAAAGATAGAGAAATTAAAAAACAACATAAATTAAAGGTATCAAAAAACAGTTTTGCAGGACTAAGACTCGGATGTGGCAAAACAAAAAGCACCGCAGGGACTACAAAAATATTTATCCAAGAAAGTATGTAGGAAAATACAGGAATATTTTGAAAAAGAGAAAAATATGGGCAAGCAATTAAATAAAAATTTCTTTCATATTAACTGTCTTTAACATTCCCATTTATTAACCAATACTTTAATAAATAGTACTTTAATTGACCAATTAAATCTTTTACTTTATATATCCAACTTTTATCAAATTTGAGTTTTTTTGCGACTAAAAAACTTTAATGTGGTTTTTGAATGTTTAAATGTACAATTTTATTTTCTAAAAAAATCTTATTATTGACAGGGATCAATTAACTTTATGGATAGTCAAACATCGTAAACCGCATGGAAACCTTTAAGTGGGACGGAGGGAGTACTAAGATCATGTTCGTCACATTTTCCGTAAGTGAATACACCATTCAAAGATTATCAATTTTGTTACTTTACCGATTTGCTATTAGTAATTACGAGTATTAATTTTATTTCGTTACCTGTTTGCTCTTTGTTTGAACGAATGTTGGTTGCAGCTTTCTTCTTGCAGACATTGAGAGACAAGTCACCGGGGCGCTGATGAATGCCAACTATTTGGCCTTTATAAACATCGACCCCAGGTTTTATAAACATTTGCCCCCTTTCTTGTGAGCTAGATAGAGCGTAAGACGTGCTTGTTCCATCCTCACAAGAAACCTTTAGTAGCACAGGTAATGAACTACTTAAGACTTGAGAGCTATAAGCACGGGTTAAGATCAGATGAAGTAAAAAACAATACCAGTGAACCCTGATCCCGTGTAGAAATATCGCCCGCCCACGGTCCATAGCTATCAAAAATAGTGTTGAGAATGGCAGTTCCTCGTGAAGCAGTCAAGATTGCATTTCTCAGTCCAAGAAGACCGCGGGTTGGTATTTTATATTTCAGGAGAGTTGTTCCTTCTGACCTAAACATTAAACAATATTGAATTATATGGTCCAAGATTTCTAACAATTACGGGCAGCAGTAGATGTTTTTATGAAAAAATACTCCCTCCGTTCCTATTAAAACTTCCAAATAGGTTTGGCACAGAATTTAAGATAGTGGATATTGTGTGGTGGAGAGTTGTGCAGAGGAGAGAGAAATGTGTAAGAAATGTTGTGAACCACAAATTCTTTACTAAAAAGGGAAAATGGAAGTTTTAATCGGAACGGACGAAAAAGGAAAGTTGGAAGTTTATTTAGGAACGGAGGGAGTAGTTAAAATGATGCATTACCCAACCCCTTGCATATCAAACATTTGCCCGCGCCTTTTACCAAGGAGTTCCACCACGGACCCCATGTGTTCTTCAGGAACCTCTACTATAGCAATCTGCAAAAACAATGCTTGTCAAATATCGTTGCTCTGTTTCCATATGTTTCAGCATAGAAGTTTGCTTTGAACAACAGTAGGGAGTTACTAATCTACCATATTATCACCCAATTTCTTTAAAAGCTACTACATCTAGATCTACTTATTAGCTATTGCAGGGCACAGTGACAAAGGTAGTTGGTTTTCATGCGTAATTAAAAATATTATGGAATTCCAATTTTACCCTTTGTATGGTGCCATACAAATTAATACGTCTAAAACTAAACATAAACATATTATTTATCATGGAGAAAGATCGAGGAAAAATACTTCACATAAAAACCAATTTCAAAACCATTGACTTGGTTTAAAAGGTGCTCTATTATGACCGGTGGGAGTATGTTGACAAGAAGTTGGCAGACAAAACAGTTTCTTTGTTATAAAAAATATGAATGAAATCAGAATTGCTTGTTATGTTAGTAACCTCATAAGGTTCCAGCAACTTGTCATTCACTCTTTTATTGATTACTTTGGGAGGTCCGACCATGAACTCAAACCCTTCCCTTCGCCTGAAAGCATTTGAAAATGTCAAATAAATCATGGTAAATAGTACTAGTATAATGTACAGGGGAAATTTACACTTTTTCATACATGTTCTCAATTAATATGGTAATGTGCAAAGTTCCCCGTCCACTAACAATAAATGAGTCTGCAGTTTCACCATCTTCAACTTTCATGGCTAGATTTCTCTCGAGCTCACGGGACAAACGGTCTCTTAAGTTTCTACTTGTGACATACTTACCCTGGTATGCAAAGGGGTTTTCAAGGGAGGATTTACAACACAATTTAACGAATAATATATATAGGGTGCAATTCCAATGAATAAAGTGCTTCATATGAGAAATGCAATTTTTTACTTATGCTTCTTTATGATGTACTATGATGTTCAACAAGTTTTACATAAAAGTTCAGTTAATTACGAAATTGCCACTGTCTAATTCATCACATTTATAGCAGTTTTGGCAATTCCAAATAGATCTTAAATTCAACGCACCAAATGCATTCTCATTTCTTACAACCAGCACTCTTATCATTTGAACACTTTTCCCCACCAATATAAATGTCACTTTCAATTCTTTACACTACACTTTTATCTGCATATGTTTCACTTTTACACGGTGATAAAAAGTTCATTTAATTACGGTATTGCCACCGCATTTTGGACCAAATTTGATGCATTGTTAGCACTTTTAGAGGTGTTAGATCTTACATCCAATGCACTAGATCCATTATCATTTCTCTCACATTAAGACTTCTTTATATGTATATATATATACATATATATAGAATTTGGTTCAAATGAAAAGAGTTCCTTAGGTGAAAAATAAGAACTATTCATGGTCGATCTAATAAAAACGATGAATGAGATGAAATTTTACAGCAAAAATACAGTGGCATTTTTGTATAGTTCAGCATGTAAAAAGTCTATGGTTTCAGAGAAATGCTCAGGTCTGAACGTTCGGACCTGAGGTGCCGTCCGAACACCGCCGTTTGGGGTGGTTCCCGGTCGAATTTTTTATGGCATGTTCTTCATCCAAGTCTAGTTTATCCACAACAAATTTCAGCTCAAAATTCGATCAGGAAGGCAATTAAATAATTTTTTGAAGTTGACTACGTTTTTATATGTATATTTTGGCGCAGTCAACTTCAAAAAATTATTTGACTGTCTTCCCGATCGAATTTTGAGCTGAAATTTTTGTGGATAAACTACACTTGATGAAAAACATGCCACAAAAAAGTCATCAAAAAATTCGACCGGGAACCGCCCCAAACGGCGGTGTTCGGACGGCACCTCAGGTCCGAACGTTCGGACCTGAGCATTTCTCTATGGTTTCATACATATAGTGCATTAGTGTACATAAAAGGTGCATCATACTTTACACAAACCTTGTTAGCACTTAGCATTAATACCATTGTAAAGTTCCTAATATATGACGGTAATGCACTTTTATGTTATACTCGTACACTTTTCATATTTTATGCAGATTTAGAATTACCAAAAATTAAGTTAATGCAATTGTTTTTAATGAAAAATTGATCTAATCCATTCACTTTGAAGCAATGAATGCTCTAAATTCATTCTTACTTTTAGTGGGAAGAATACATTTCACTTGAACTCATCCTTACATATATACAGGGCAAACCATACCTCACGACCAACAAATGGGGAAATATTGACAGAAAATGCCATTTTCACTGTGGGTTCTTCAACTGTTATGGTAGGTAATGGCTTTCCGTTACTTTTCTCTGCAATAGTCTCCCCAATCTAGACCAGAATATGCACAAGTGAAAAAAGGAGGAACTAATCCGAGCATCTTTTGCAAGCAACCAGAACAGTATATTAGGAAAAGCATAACTTAGCACACTTTTCGAGTACCTGAATATCACCAATGCCAGAAACAGCACAGATATCACCAGCTTCCACGCTTTCTGCAGGAACCCTATAGAACTTCTCATACACAAAAAGTTCACTAACTCTGCCAAATCGGAAACTATCCTCTGATGTACATATCTGAGATTTCAAAATTCATCACAAAACACGAGTATTTACTATTTCCTTTCCAGAGATGACATGATCAATGAATCAATGATGCAGTCATTATTTGAAGATAAAAACAAAGGTAAGATAGTACAAAAGGATAAAGTTTCGACCAAAAAAACTAACCCGCACATCCATTCCTCTATGCAAAGTTCCAGCATGTACACGCCCGATAGCTATACGCCCTTTATGATCATCATATTCAATATTTGTAGTCTATAAAAATGTTGAAACATGAGATCATTAAAGCATACTAGTTAATCTTTGCTGTAGAATAGCAGGATGATATAATCAGAACTATCAAAACGCCTGTCATTCTGAACTCCTGTTTTTCACAATTCACATCAAGAATCTGCTTTTTCTAACAAGCTAGGAATAGTGATGTGAACCTTACCCACAGAAAGAATGGCCTCCATTACATCACCAATTTAAAAATATACTCCCTCCGTCTCAATTTGATTTGCAAAAGTTGACTGGTACAAGAATTAAGGAGGGTGAGAAATTATGCTTGGCTTTACTATTTTGTCCTTTCTCCCATACAGTAGAAGCATTTGAGTAAATGGAAAATGGGTAAAAAGTTAGGATACGTTTGTCACTGCATTCAACTTTCCATACCTAAAATAGAATGTGGAAAAGCATTTTGTGACAACCAAAATAAGAAATTTTGCAAATCAAATTGGGGCGGAGGAAGTAGTAGGGAAAGCTGCAAAGATGATTTGAAGCAAAATAAGATCTACTGATGACCTATCAATTGTTATAGCGACTGAACGACCTAAAGTTGCCAAATAAGATGGTTGTCACAAGCATGAAAAGTTTATAAAGGTAACCTTTTCATTTTTATTGAATAATAGAAGGAAAAGAAGCAAAAAAAATATGCTCAAAAGGAGAACTTACAAGCATTTGAAGTGCACCGTCTTTTTCAATACACGGTCCAGGAATGCATCTAAGTATGGACTCAAAAAGTGGTCCAAGATCGTCTGCCAAATTCTCAGTTTCAAGCCCTGCTATTCCCTTGATGCCGCTTGCGTATATTACCTGGAAGTCACACTGCAAATGGAAAAAAACAGTAGTAAAAATCAAAATCTTATAAAGGTGAGCTGATATATGAAAGAGATGTCACCATAATTGCATTCCTGCGAGACTGACAACTTATGGTATGTAAGATGTTTTGTTCTCAGAAAATGTTAGGTAAAAGAAAGAAAAGCCTAGAGCTAGAAGTGTCATTTTCTTGTGTTTGGATTTTGGAAAACATTTGTTAGCATTTTTTGCTTTTATCTACCATTTTCCAAAATCACATAAGAAAATAACATTTTTTAGCATTTCTTTCTTTTGACGTAGATAGATAAACTGAATTTGAACAAATAAAAAAAAATACACTTTTCAATTTGAACAAATGTTATATTTTTCCTTCAATTTCTTTTGTCCCTTGACTCCCTTCCTTCAAAGTTTCTTTATATTTCTTCCAAATTTTCTTTCTTAACATTTCTGAATTTCAAAAGGACCCTTGGGAAGGGCTGAAGCTTCTCCTTTCTGTGTTACCAAATAACACAAAAGCTATTGTCCATTCAGTCATGAGATCGAGGAAAAGATAACTTTATCCACTGTTAAAATCGGTCTATATAGCGCATAGGCACTATGTGATGGCTGAGTGCCCCGTATTTGTCCTCGTTGGCAAGAACAATTAGTCACCATATTAGGCAGCCGCCTTCGTAGCTAGGCAGGCTATTAAGAAGGTGCCTAGGCGGCTAGGTGGGCATTGAGGTGGGCTAGGCGGGTGCCTAATCTGTCTAGACGGGTCTCTATGTGACCTAGATGCCCTGTTAGTTCTTGATCTAACTTATTTACCCCCAAAAAGAAAAGTAAGGCAGGTAAAATGGGATAGAAGGAGTACTAAGGATCATAAAACAAATAAATGAAAAATTAAAATAAAAGAAGACCATGCCGCCCTGGGCAGCACCCACCTAGGCACTAGACGGCAGGCCAAAGCCCAAATAGTGCATGGTGCCTTTTAGAACATTGGATTCATTCCAGGTAAGAACGTTTCTGAAGAACTAAAAATAATAAAACAAAAAACTCACCTGTTCGTCTGATGCGTTGAGTTCAATGAAAAGCTCAAAAGTGGAATTGACTACAAAGTCTGGCCTAGCAGAAGGCCTGTCAATTTTATTGACAACAACAATCACAGCATGGCCAAATTCCAAGGCCTTCTTCAAAACAAATCTTGTTTGTGGCATTGGACCCTCCACAGAATCTACCTAAAAATTAAAATCTTTATTTGGTAACACGGGATAAATAGATGAGAAGCTTGTAGTTAGATATTCTACATTTTAAAGAAAAGAAGAACTTAGAAATGAGTACAAAAAAAAGATGAAATCCAAACAGAGGCACATGTTATCTGCAATAGATGTATGTTATGATTCTTATCTTCATTTTTCTCAGCCAAAGTATACACTTGTAATTAAAAATGATAGGCTTTTAAGAAAGTACCACTAAAAGAACTCCTTCCACCATGTTAAGGATGCGTTCCACTTCACCTCCAAAGTCTGAATGGCCAGGGGTGTCAATTATATTTATTTTTGTATCATTGTAAGTAATTGAGGTGTTTTTGCTAAGTATAGTTATTCCCCTTTCACGTTCCAGATCATTTGAATCCATTATCCTCTCCTTTACAAACTGATTGTCTCTGAAAACCTGCAGGAAAATTTTTAAAAGAGAGTTTTAGCAATTTTAAGCTCATCAATATTACTTTATTGTTAAAGCTGAAATGGAGTAAAAAGATCTTCACTTTCATGATCAAGTTGAGCTCATACACAATAAATTTATTGAATATATTGGTTCAAAGTAGCTTTATCAATTCATTTATATTAAATATAGGTTAACAATCTAAATAACACATTTCGTTTTGCATTGCACTTTCTAAGGTACTACCTCCATTCCGGCTTAAGCTTCTGATTGAAAAATGACATGGTGTTTTAGAAAATAATTAAATAAGGTTATTCAAGTATATTTTAATAAGTAGTTTTGCGGAGTATATAATATAATGAAGTCATTGATGATAACTGTGATGTTATAGATGTATTATTTTAAATATTTGATAATTAAGTTGTCATTTAAGAGTGTTAATTATTTCCTAAAACAAAAATGGAAACCTTTAGGTGGGATGCAAGTGAGAAGCTTGAGCTGGGAAGGAGGGAGTATAAAAAAGACAATGAAATTTACTATCCTTAGCAATTGGGGAGTATTTCATTTCCCAACAACCTCCAATGGTGCAAACATACTCACAGTCTTCATGTCAAATCCATCCATGGAATATAACTCATTAGTACCATATGAATAAGATAAAACGAATGAGATTAAAGGAATTATTCTTTAAACCTTTGCTTGTCTCAACATTGCATCCACCAATGTAGTCTTTCCATGGTCGACATGAGCCACAATTGCAATATTCCTTATGTCACTTCTCCTCATGACATGGCTCCGTTTTTCTACACGCAAGGCATGTTAGATAGACATGAACACGGCTGAAACAATTATTGTGATTATTAAATGTTTCTTTTTGTTTACTCTCAATTTAACCAATACGAACATAAGCAAATAATAATACAACTCTAAATCCTTTCTCTTGTGATCGGATTGATATGGGATTCAACAGAGTATCTGAATCACAGTCTATCAATTCAAACTCGTAGTAGGTACGACAAAAGCGAGCATATGATGATACCGGTAGAGACTTCAGTGGCCGGAGAAGATGAGCATTTGACAGAACTCCGAAATAGGTTTCCTGAGCTAAACCGAAATGGAGCTTCCGCTGTCAAACAAGAAGCCAATTTGCTGCCAAAGAAGCTGTTTTTTAAGAAACGTAAAGACAGACTGGAGCTTTTTGTGGTAACATGAATATGGGTTCTTGGAGGTAGAGGAGCGGGAGAGATAGAAGAATGCGAACCAATAGCTATCTCCATTGCTCACTCACTCACTCTCGGGAAAAGCTTGGGAGGAATGAAGTGAGAGGCTGCAAAATTGATTCGTTAGGACTTGGGATGAGGATAAGGGCTCTTACCGTCTGTTTGGATGGGGCGTTTGCTTATAAAAAGTGATTATTTAAAGTGATTATTGGAAAAGTGATCGATATTAAAAGTAAGTAGTGTTTAACAATAGAAGTAATTTTAATTAAAATGTAGAAGTAGGAGTGTTTGATGAAAAAGTGATATTTAATGTAATATATTGTTAAAATACAGAAATAATCCTCAAATTAAAATGGTGACTTCAAATAAGGCATCGATCCCTCAGCTCAGTGTGGTCTGCTTTCGCGTTTGAAGCTTTGGTCAATCATTCAAAGAAGCCTCCGACCCCAACTTGTTGCTTTTATCTTTGACCACCCGTTGTTGCCTCCTTTGCCTTTCAAGGCCGGAGCCATCGGTACTTTATATATATATAAATTCTCAGGTCCATCAGCTTTTTGTCCGAACACCGCCGTTTGGGTGGTTCCCGGTCGAAGTTTTGGATGAAATTTTTTGATCATGTTCCTCGTCAAGTCTAGTTTACCCATATCAAATTTAAGCTCAAAATTCGATCCGGGAGGGAGTCAAATAATTCGTTGAAGTTAACTGCGTTTTTCTATGGGTAATTTGACGCAGTTAACTTCAACGAATTATTTGACTGTCTTCCCGACCGAATTCGCTGAAATTTAGTATGGATAAACTAGACTTGATGAGGAACATGCTCAAAAAAAAATCATCAAAAAATTCCACCGGGAACCACCCCAAACGGCGGTATTCGGACGGCATTCAGACCGGAGCTGCCGGACACGAGAATGACTCTCTCTCTCTCTCTCTCTCTCTCTCTATATATATATATATATATATATATATATATATATATATATATATACACACACACACGTGAAAGAGGAGTGACGATGGGGTTGGCGGTAGGGTTTACAGAAGAAGCATGGGCCAATTTTGCAGATGAATTGGATTGGAGAAGAGTGGTACATGACTGCAGAATCGACTTGGCCTAAACAAATTGGAACGAAGATGCAGCAAGTCGGGATTGGTAAGAGAAGGGAGGGGAGGGTAGTTTGGGTTTGATTGAAATATTCAGCTTAATAATGATCCTTGAACATCGAATTTTTTTCAAAAATAACTTAAAGCTACTCCCTTCGTCCCTTACAGTTTGTACTAGTTTGACTTTTTGAGTCAAACTAGGTAGACATTTGACCGTAATTATATATTAATATATACCTATAAAATCTATAATAAATTGACATTTGAATAATACATATTACAAAGAATCATATAAATTAATTTTTTAGGGATAAAGTATTATTAATTTTGAGTAATTAGCGGTCAAAGTTTAATAAATTTGACTCAAAAAGTCAAACAAGGACAAACTTTAAGGAACGGAGGTAGTATTAAAAGTAGCCTCCACCATGCTTTGAACTTTTAACTTAAAAGTGCTTTAGTTAATCTAAATTTTGAGTTTGGAAACATCCTTTTGGCTTTTTCCACAAAAAAGTTCAAAAGCACTTTGGAGTAGTGTTTGCAAATACTCCTTAAAGTGTTAGTAAATGTTGGCAACAGGAACCGAATTTGATCATCTCTGTCCCGTTAACATTGTCTCATTTTTTCATTTCGATCTGTCTCATTAAGATCGTTTTATATCAAATTTGATAAAATTTGTATGGTTATAAATCATTGTTACATTATTTTTAGTTTATCAATTCAATATCAATCATATACATCCATTTTTCTTAATAATTGTGTTGGTTAACGCGGTCTCAATGTATATGGATGCGCTAAAGATAGATAACACATTTAACAGAATAAAATAGAGTCAGAAACAGCAAAGAGACGATGCAATAAGGTTGTTCATTGACCGGGCTAAACTTGCAAGTGTACAAGTGCCGATATAGTAATAAATTCCGGTAAAATACCGGGTCGAATCCAAAAGGAAACGTTGTTTAATTTAGTCCGTGAGTAGATAACTTTGAATGAAGAAATGAGTAAAGTGCAGGGATTTTTATTTGTGTTTTATATTTTTGGTTTTTTCACTAAGGCTTCGGGAATCACTTGAATGCTTTAATAGGGTTGAATATTAGTTCTTTGCCAATAATTATGAATACGATGTCGCTAATATATTCTCAACTCCGGTTAAGGCAGCGAGAGCGTGGTTTTTGTTACGTGTAAGTCCCGTTACGGCTTACATTCATCTATCGAAAGCCCCGTTGAATATCAAGACATCACACCCGTATCATATAAGACCGGATATATTTCTATTCTCGGTACTATATATGTTTATCCTTTAATGTTCATAGTTTAGACTTCAACGTTAATTACAAGTATAAACTAAATTTAACATACTTCTATGTTGTACACCATAGTCATAAACAATCAAAGTATAAAGGATATATCACAATTTATTGGTTTAGAACTTTTATCAAACACCTAGTGGGCATAGAAGTTCATCCCTAGTCATAGCTAAGAATTTAGCTACTAATGCTCATATTAATTACAAAAGTGTAACTAAGAACAAGTAAATACAATAACATACAAGAGAAATTTCCTAGAACCAATTGTAGAGGAGAGAAATAGCTTCTTCTCCAAAGAACTTGAAGAAAAATAGCAAGAACAAAATATAAAAGCTATGAATTAATCTATGGAATGGAATGTCTTTTGCATGATGAATGGGGGGTTATATAGGCTAAAGAATGACATCTTTTAGTCTATTCGAACCCAACAATCAGGTATGGAAGCAATATTTGATTAGCATTGAGGAAGATGAAGTTTTCCCATCAAAAATCGTCTTGCACGTTGTTGTGTTTTAGCAGAATCAGACCCAACCGGCGCCGGTTCTGGCCTGACCGGCGCCGGTCATGCATATTTTTTTTCGGAAATTAAGATCCAACCGGCACCGGTTCTGGCCTGACCGGCGCCGGTCACTGCGCCAAAATGTTTACTTGCTTCTTCTTCTCAATTTCATGCCTGTGATTTATCCAGAAGTGCTGATTTTCAATCCCTTTTGACCTTTGAACCCGTATTTGTCGCTCCTAGCCATATTCCACATTTTTGCACATTTTGGAATATTTATCTGTTTTCGCTCTATATTTTTGTACAGATAAATATAATTACTTATGTAAAACATAAGTAATTATTGTGCTTATCAAATTCTCCCACTCTTGAGCGTTGCTAGTCCTCGAGCAATGTCGTCAGTCTTGGATGCCTTGTGATGGAGTATATGGCCCGGGAACACCCGGCCCACAGACTCCTACTACTCCAGTAGAGGCCCAACAGGCCCAGAAGGCCCAACAGGCCCAAATCACGGCGCCCAGAGTACCAAGCAGCCCGCAATACGCACCAGGGGTGCCTTCGGCCCCCTGGCCGAAGGCTCCAAACTATCACAGCATGGATATTTCGAACAAACAGAGGAACTGGGAGAAAACGGCGAAAACAGTAGCCCTCGGCACCTGGAGCCCTCGGCACTCAGGGGTCCTCGGCACTAAGAGCCCTCGACTAGTCCTCTGCAGCCGAGGGCACCTCTCCCGACATGATATCCGCCTCACATGCGTACAGATCACCGTACCCTGTACAGACGTCCCATCCAACAGCCGCATTAAATGCGGCCACATGCGGCTGCCAACGCCAACCAGTTGAGGTGACCCCTCGGCCAATAGGCGCTTGACACGTGTCCCTGTCCGGCATTTATTGCCACTATAAATAGCACCCCATTTCCCCATTTGTAACCACGCTGAAAACGCTCCATATTTATAATACACTCTCTCTCTCTCTCTACATTTACTTGCTCTGACTTCTCTCTAAGTTATTCCCAGCAATAACCCTTCGGATACATACCCCCGGGTAGACTATCCATCATTTGGTGCTCTCGTTGAGAGGTCGAACAATCGAGTAAGAAACCCCCCCCCCCCTTCGCCAAACACTAGCCCTCTACCAAAATGGTGAGAACAACACGTGCCAACTCCAAAAACGTAGAAGACAAGAACCTGGCCCTCGGCGACGTCAACGCCCCCGAAGCCTCTCACAGGGCTCCTCAGGGCGGTGTCATCGCTGGGCTGGAACAGGCGGCTGTCGACCTACGCCTTCAGATCCAACAGAATGCCCCCGATGCCCGCCTCGGCATCGAGGCCAAGAAGAAAAACCAGAGCGATGACCTAGACAGCCCTCCAGTTCTCACCATCGACGTGCAGTCGGCGCTCTCCGCCTTCATCCAAACGCTCACTCAGAACCCGGGTGCCTTCGGCACCCTGGCTCTGGCTCAACCACAGGTTGGGGAGAACATCATACTTCCCCCTCTGCCACACCCCTTCGGAAACCCCACCCCTCAGGTTAGGAACGACGAAGGGGTAGTGGCCCAAGATACGTCCTCCCAGGAAGTTCAGTCCCGGGACCGCCACAATGACAACAGAGAAAGGCCCCGCACTTCCGCCCTCAACCGGCTCGGAGGAGGGCCAGACCGCCGAGGGGTCCAAGACCGCCTCGGAGGAAAGACACTCCAAAGGCCCCAGGAAAGTGGAGGGTCTGTATCGAGGGCAGACGAGGAGCGTCCCCCTCGGGACAAAGGCAAGGCACCCCTTCATGCCGATGACGCTCGCCACCAAATCAACCAGGCCCACTCGGCCCGGGTTCGTTCGCAGGGGGCGGAGACCCTCCCGAAGGATCCCCGGGACGAAATTATTGCGGCCCTCCAACGTCGGCTTGATGAAATGGAGGCCAACAAAGCTCACGCCACCACCTCCACCCCTCATTCAGATCTCAAATACGAGGCCATGATGGCCAAAATGGAGGAATTACAGAAGAAGGTGGCCGAGGGCTCCGGGGAACCCGTCATCCAGCTCCGGACCCGGACGCCATTCACCCCAAGGGTACTGGCGGCCCGGATCCCGGAAAAATACCGAGGGCAACACATACAGCCCTATAACGGGAAGACGGGCCCCCAGGAACACTACAGCAAATATCAAAACAGCATGATGATGGTAGGGGCGTCGGACGAATATTTGTGTCGTTGGTTCCTCTCCACCTTAGAGGGGCCGGCATACGAATG